TACACATAAATATATGTACATATGCTACACACATACACATATGTAACAAAATAAACAAAAAAATTCTTAAGGAAGAATTGGCATCTTCTTTCACCCTTTTTTACTTGGAAGTGAACAAACAGCTATCTTGACTTTGCAGTGAGTTTGTTCTATTGAAAGAAACTGGGCTCTCCAGAAAAGTCTGTTCCCTCTCTTGGGAATGTCATGGGCAACAGCAGAAACCTTCCTGTTTCCCCATCTCCAGGAAGGACAGACACATCCAGAGTCACAAAGTTTCATGCATGCCTGCGTCTGTCTGGTCCCTAGAACAGGGGATCTGTGCAGCAAAAAGCAAGAAGCCAGCATCTGGCACAGAGGGATGTGGAAGAATACGTGTCTGGCACTTGGCTACATCTGATCTTCTTCTACAGATTTCTAAAATGTCTATTGTTCCTGGGAGATTTTTCCTCTCTGTAATTAATTAACTATGTGGTTGAGAAGATTCACAGACTAGCAGAAAACACTGAGTGATGAAACACATGCAAAGAATTAGAGAAGAAGTACCATCACGTGAAGCCTATAATTCAGTTTAAAAATTTTACTTCTCCAATGGGAAACACCAAGTAAAAGAATGCAAATCTCTATGGTATTTTAATTCAGGGGAAGTGAATTTGGTTCTTATTTTGTCCTCTTAAAACACAAATGTGGCTTCTTTGGCAGAATATTATATGGGAGGGATAATTAAGTTAACATGATCATAAAATAAAATTGAAGAAAAAAAGCAGTTTATATACTTTTTCACTACAATGGAAACTCTAATAAATATTAACTGCCACATGTTTATTGAGAAGTCCTACTTTCTGTCCCTTGATGCTCAGATACCTCCTATTATAAGTTTTCATTAGCAGCATGGGACATGTAGGCTTCTAACATCATGTGAAAATGTAATAACATGCACCTTTGCTCTGTGCTGCCTACTGTCTTATAAACAATGCAAGGATGTGTGTGAGAATCCTTGGGAAGGGAACAGAAAAGTGGTCTGGGTCCAAAGGTTTTTTCCTTATTCTATGTCCCTCCCCTTGCATACCACGTGCTCAACACTCATCTGTCTCTGCCAACAGTCTTTCCCAGCTGAGCAACAGGCCCCAAGAACTATCTTGAGCTTCTCCTTGGGTCCAAAAATGTGATGGCCAGAATCCATCTGGATGTCAAAACAAGAGACTAGAGGTCAAATGCTTTGAGCAACATTGGCATAGTTCAATGATTTATATTCTCGTTTTCCAGACGCTAAGAATTCTTTTTCCCCCCTTCATAATTTGCATTTCATTCCAGTTAAGCAATTTTCTGCCACATTAAAGGCAGGACCCCAAGTGGGATAAACTTAGAATGACTCTCCAACTCTATTGTGGCTTGTAAAAAGTTAAATGATAAAAATGCAGCTCCACCAGGCTGGTGGCATGGCACTACAGTGCTTTTAGGAGTGAACTAGCAGCTGAGTCGTCCACCTAACAAATTCTGGGTGACTGGAGCGGGGATGTTGTGCTGCTCTTGGGATCTTCTCTAAGAACACTGATAACTGTTTCCAACATGGCTTTAAATGCTGCATAGAAAGTCTCAGGTATGATGACATTAATGACCCTGCAAACTTCTGCTTCATAGAGTTAATTTGGATGATAGAGATGAACATTAAATCAGATACCAAAACATTCATGGATGCAAAAATGACCACATAAATATAATATGGATCATTGCAGTTCCATTTTAAACTATGACTCTCTGTATGTAGGGAAAAGGAGTTGTCACAAAGGAGATCAATGTTTTACTGCAAAATCTGCCTCCCAGTTACTGAAGTGGCATGGAACAGTTTTGGATTTCCCAAACTTGCACAACTTTTTCTTATGTCATCTTATTCCCAAGTTGCCCAATTAGCACCTGTAGCTCCCTGCTCACCTCCTATTGCTCTTTTTTTCCCTAAGACTCTAAAGATGATGACCTACTTGGTAAATTTTAGCTTAAAGACTTCACGGATATGATAAAAATAAAGGTGTGTATGTACATCAAAGATGTAAAGATTATTTTTGGTATATCCATACTCTTCTCTGTATAACTTAGTAATACCCTCATTGTGTCCTAAGCTTAAAGAGGGGAGAGAAATCTAAAAAAAAAAAAAAGGTAGATGGTGAGGGGACAGTATTTATTTTTTGTAGCCAGCATCTAGCCTGGTAGATGTTTGAGGATGTAGGGAAATTATATGCCCAATTAAGTAAAAAAAATTCTGGTTGTTTGGAGAATACCATATGATACTATTCTTCATTTGAGAGGTTCTTATAACACAAGCACAATTTTATGTTAGGATTTCTAGGGTAGGCATGATTAACTGTGGTATACCAGAGACAGAAAGAAATACATCCTTCTTTTGCTTATTTTTTAATCAATACAGAGCTACCCTAAGATTAAGTCCATATAAACCAACACTGGATATTTCAATTAAGACCTAGACCACAGAAATAACCACAGAAGGAGTATACAGAGAAAACCATGTGTGGAAGGCAGATACCCGAATCTGGCTGCCAAGTCAGCTACAACCAGCTCTGTAAGTCACTACCCTTCTTATGGTTTGAATGTGAAATGTCCCCCAAAGACATCTGTGTTGATCACTTGGTCCCCAGTTGGTGGTGCTGTTTGGGAGAGTGTGGAACTTTTGGAGCATAGTCTCTGATAGATGGAGTTGGGTCACTGTGTGTGGGCCTTTGAGGGTTATAGCCTGGTCCTGCTTCTGGTTCCATTCTCTCCTGCTTACCACAGTGAGACCAGCTGCCTCATGCTCCTCCCAAGATGGCTGAGCTCTCCCATCGCAGCACCTTCTGTACCATGATGGACTGAAATCTCCTGAGACCATGAGCCAAAACAAATCCTTCTTTCCTCAACTTGCCTATGCCAAGTATCTTTTCACAGTACCAAGTAAAGTAATCAATACAATCATCCATCCTTTGTTTCTTCTTCTGAAAAATGAGCATATTACCCATCTTTTAAAATTAAATGGAACAGCAAGTAACAGAGGAATCTCAGGTGTCAAGTTGGTATGAATGTCAATTTGTCTCATAAATGTTGCCTGCATGATTATTGAGAGGATCTGGGATTCTTATGTATAAAAATTAGCCAGCTTCACACAACACTACAAAAACTGTAGAACTCTAGTATTCTGTGGCTTCAAGTGCCAAAGCTTTCCATCTCATAGGCACCATGAAGCCAGCAACACTGTGAACCAGTGCTTTCAGCTGTAATTAAGAGAACTCATTGTTCCAGTTTTTTGTTTTTGAATCACTGTGCTTTAGAAAATACGAAGACAAATTCAGTCCTCACTACTGCTTAAGAGAAGAAGAGCAAGTGGATCTTTGCAAGCCATTCTCTGCAAAGACAGCCCCCCTACCCATTTTACCCTGACCATTTTCTAGTGATGGGCAACATGAAGTAATGAGCCATTTAGGAGTAGTGTGGAAGTTAACAAGCCACAAACAATAGAAAAATAAGATATTATTGCTAGGTAAACCTTACAGCCTACCAAATGACTGACCACAAAAGCAGCACTGGGATAGAATCTAAGGAGGCCCACACTTTGTCTCCATTCCAAATAGCCAAAGACAGAGCAGAGACAGGCTCCAAGGCAAAGTATCTATTTCTGTTTATCCACAGCAGGGACAAATGATGCAACGGACACGCAGGAACTGGGAAAAGAGGATGAGAAGTCCAGCTTGCTAGACGGATTCCAAACCTGCAGGCATGCAGAAGGCCAGCCAGGCCAGCCTCAGCTGGCAGAGCTAACCTGGCAAAGCGCTGTGCTGCAGGCACAACCTTGATTCCAGCTTGCTCCAGCCTCCTGCGCCTTTGGTTTTCTGCAGCATCTCTGTCTTCAGGTGTGGGAGCTGGCACCACTGCCGTCCCCACAGAAGGAGGCTGCTCCTCACCACTGCTGGGGGCAGAGTCTAACCCACCATCAGGCTGCCCACCAGGACCCATCTGACTGCTGGGGTCTTCTTCATCAGGAGACCCTGCTTCGCTTCCCTCCTCCTCTATCGTTTCAGGATAACTAGTAAATAGGACAATATGGTTTGCCAAGCTAACAGACAGGCCTGAGAACAGACCAGACATAATTTCTAACACATTTTGATATTACTATTAACTTAAAAAAAATCATAGTACAGGATATGATCCTGCTACTATAAAGTCAATTAAATGCAGCCATTTGCTAATTAATACAATGTCTCTTCCCTTAAGCACTGATCAAGGGCTCTTCAATACTTGACACCAAAAGCAAAAAAGCTTTTCTGATGGAAAGGTAAAATTCATTAATTTTGATCAACAAATAACATTTTCAATAAAACGTTTATTTAGTGGAAAATCCTAGATAATAAAGATGGAATTTAGAAAAGTATCATCATTATAAGGATATTAAAGGCAAGGACTGAATCTTACTGACTGTTGGGTCCTCAAATCCTAGAAGACAGCATCCAGCACATAATAATTATTCAATAAATACTTGCTGAATAAATACATACTCTCAATATAGAGATTAAGAAAATAGTTTGCTTCTCTGAGAAAATGAGAAACATGTCTTCTATTCATTGTGACTATATTTACATTTCAGTCAGACCTGCCATGTCTCTCTCACTTGAGTAAATCAAGTTGTTAAAAAGTCTTTTTGTGTAGTTTTTGTACACCTACTCTAACAGGATCAGAAATCAGATAGTCTCCACAGTAGGACATGGATGACCTATCTGTTTTCCACATTCTGTCAGTGGAACTGGCCTCAAGCATCTGCTCATTGGCTAAGTACTTGTTGGATACCTATAGCGTGCCAGGCATAGCTCTAGTTGCCTTCATGAAACTGATACTGTATGACAAGCTCTCAGGATTTGAGTCACCCACTTCTCTTTGTAATTGTATATCAAAGTACTGAAATGGCTAATGGACTTCATTCCTCCTCAGGAGTTTTACCCAAGACAGCAGGGGGTCAGGCCTACCTGAAGGGCCTTTCCCCACTGAGGGGGGAGGTGGCCATGCTCCAGCTCTTCCGGTAATCCTCCCGCTCAGTCTTCTTCTTTCTCAGAGGTGCTGGGACATAGGCGGTCTGGTTGCTTTTATTCGGGAGGTACTGGTTAAAAGGCACTGCTGATTTTGGCTCACCATGGGAAGTCCGCCGTGCAGACATGTCATCCTTCTTCACATCTGGCAACTTCCGATGTGGCAAGTCAGACTCAGAATCGCTTCCTCTTCCTGGAGAAGAGAGGGTGGATGCTAGGAGAGTGTATTGGGGTAACAGAAAAATACTCAACAGCAACTTTATAAAATTAGGGATAAACCTGTGTTTTCAGGGACTCTTTCCTTAAGTTAGTCACTTAAATCTGAAGTATCGGTCTAAATTAGTCTGTTCTGGAAAAAGATCTCAATTTCGGTGAGGAAAAGCAAAAAAAAAGCATCAAATTAAAAAAAACAACAACAAAAAATAGAGGTATGCCTAACATCACCAGGAGTTACTGTAAGAACATGTCTGCATGGAACCATTTGCTTGCTGAACTTTGGCTACTCTCAAAATCCCACAGGTTCCCCACAGGGATTCTACTGGGCTCTGGCCACAGAGAACACTGGGCTAGACATTCTAACAAGTAAGACTAGAAAGGACTTCGTCTTTAACCGGTACAGAGAAGGTGAAATTACAATGCAACACCAAAGATAAGAACAATGGGAACGTGGAAAAGTGACCAGTTGAACTTCAACGAGGGATTGCCTTTCAACGGGGTTGCATCTTCTTCCTACAATCCTTACCAACCTATAATCCCTAATCCTCCCTTGTGTTTTGAAAATAAGAGCTGTCCAGTGTCCACTTTTACCACATGCCTTTGCAGCAGTGAGCATCCTCAGACTTAGAAGGATCCTTGCACTAATTTGGCTAAAGAAGGGGTATTTTTAGACAATGCAAAGGATTTCAGTGCTGTCAGTCAGTCTTCCCTTACTAACAGTCCCAGTAATGATACTGTATTCCTTTTGCCTGAGTCTCATGCCATCATATTCCTAGGGTCCACCGGAATGAAGCTATCATTAAGACACATGCAATCATACAAGTAACCACCATTTTAATGCTAGTTGAGAGTCCTTAATTGGTGAGACCATTTCAACGCCATTCTGGCTGTTGATATAAAAAACGTTTATGCTTAGGAAAAGCACCAAGAGATGCAACAGGGCAGAGGAGTAGTGTACAGGGTTTTAAGCCAGATCCACTTCATTTCCAGCTCTGCTGTTCATTAGACTTCTTACTTGACCACTAAAGCCTCCATTTTCCAATCTGCAAAATGAGGATAATAATACCATCCATTTTATAGGACTGTTGGAAGGAGTGGATCCATGTAAAACTATTGGTTCGGTACTTTGCACTGAGAATTTGATAAACACCACCTACTCTCTATGTCATAACAGTTCTGGGTCTGTCAGAAATGAACTGTGGCCTCCTCGGCTCATCTCCAACACACTTAACTGTCCTTTTTCTGTAAGACAGGATTGAAAAGATTTTCCCTGGAGATTAGATGGTACAATGACGTTTAAAAGGCTGTAAAAGTTAAAGGCATTGGCTGTAAACAAGTTGTTCAGTGTTGTACATGAACTATTCAGTCTATGAATTATTCATGCCACTTGTTTTCAGTCTCTCTTCTGAAATTTTGGCCATTTCCTGACTTGTTAGCATTTGATTCATTACTCAGCTCCCTTTCCACCATGTCTTAACAAATGTGTTTGCCAGTGTCAAAGCAAAATGTTGTCTATAAACAAATACTCATACCATCTCACCCTGCCAAATGCTTAGATTTGTCTCCCCACTTGATAGCTGTACCTCTTTATAAAGATAGAAACAGGCTCAAAAAGGCCGGAAGAGCCTGCCCCTCAATGTGGCTGACAAATGACAGCTCTGGGGATCTGGTTTCTGTTCTACAGGCTCCCAAGGTTCTATCCTGTCAGCACACTACTCTTGGAAAAATGTCTTCTCCTTTAAGAGAAGACATTATACTGTGCTGAAAAAAAAATGAATGAAGAAAATAATTCTTTCATCTACTATGAAAGCTTAGTGATGGTTAGAGTTCTCTTGGGTTCCTCAGTTCTAAAGCCCTATAGTTTATGGACTTTATTCATGTGTAACAACTAAAGCATATTATCATGATACACTGAAAGTCTCAAAGATGTTAACATATAAGCATATCCCTTTCCTCCTCCAATAATTCTTTGATGAATGTTTTAACAGACATTTTAAGAAACGTTAACTTGCCAATGTCCCAGGGCAGAGTGGCTCAGTTGCAAGTAGGTAGTCTTACAGACGTACAACAAGGGTATCATCTCATTTCCACCACCTGCTAGCTATGTGACCCTGGGAGTTTAAGCTCCTTGCACAATAGGTCCTTAGGGCCTACACCAAATAATACTATAGTTCTCCTGGGGTGTCATGATGATTAAATGAAAGTCACAGAGCCACTCAAAAAATGCAGGCATGATATGCCTGCAGTAACTGTTACAGCCCATCTACCAAAGGCCATGATTTCAAAAGAGTCTGATTTCACTTCATCCTGTGAACACGAAAACTTACTAGAGTGGCTTCTCCCTGTAGTATCAAAGTTAGGAAAATAACAGCAATGATGATGATGTTATTTTTGTCAAAGTCTGATCCTTCTTTTCCATGTGGCTACAAGCAAGTAGAGTCATCCTTCTTCCTTTTACCTCCTCCCTCTCTCCCTTCTTTCCCCATCTTTGTACACAAATCCCAACACTTTTGTTTTATATAATTTTTTTAATTTATTTTATGTGTGTGACTGTATTGCCTGCATGTATGGAAGTGCACCCGTGTCATGCAGTACCCTTGAAGGTCAGAAGAGGGACTCAAATCCCCTGGAACTGGAGTTATGGGCAGCTGTTAGTCGCCATGTGGGTGCTGGGAATTAAACCCAGGTCTTCTGCAAGAGCAGTCAGTGCTCTTAACTGCTGAGCCAACTCTCTAGCCCCAACACTTTATTTTTCAACCTTCCTCTAGCACTTTAATTTTGTTCATTTCTTATATATTTTGTCACTCATTTTTTGATAAAATATAGGCATCTTGGTTTTATGAAATTTTAGAATTGTAAAAGCATATGGGTAGGTTTTGTTTCCTGTCCAACAGGGCTCACTGACTGACCTCAGAAGGAATGCTAATAAGGATGGAAGGATTTTGGCACCTGGCTAGCAAGATGGGCTGGCAAAATCAAGCCTGGGGATTCATGGCTTTCCTACCAAGAAGCTCTGTGTCAACCCACAGAATCATGGCACTTCTGAGTGTGGCTCTTGTCTTTTTTAAACTGCTCAGTGAGTACCCATAATAATAAAATGGAAGCTCTCCATATGGACCCAATATAGAGGTAAAAAATTTCATGTCAATATTTCCTGAAATTGGTTGTGAGTCCTGGGACATAAATTTTCAAGACTTACTTTTTTGAAAAAAAAAAGTCTTGCAAATATGGAAGTATTTATTAGAATAAGTAATCTTGTTTGATTAGCATGATTTTAAAGAAACAAACTAGAAAGTCTTGTGAAATTAATATGTATTTAGCTAAAATTACACTGCATTTTTTTTTAAAGGAAGATTAAGAAATGTGTTGTTTTTCTTTTAAAACCTTATTAGGTCTTGATTAGTTTGCAGGAACAAAAGCCTTAAGGTATCAGGTTGATTGGTGAAACCCACAGAAGATACTTCATTATGGTGTTTGATAAAGCTGCATTCCATGTTATTCTGACGGAGAAAACATTTATAAATAGAATCTAGTTTATCAACCTTAATGGCTGCAACTATACTGTGTTTCAGGATATATTACTATAATATTAGTAATCATCATTTCAATCCCTTCAAGATATGGTTTAAACTGAAGCCCTTGAAGCTGGTGAAAAATAAAGCGTCTATATTACCAGTTATAAGAAAACCAGGGCAAAGAAAAAAATGGAATTTATTTAAACAGTTAAAACAATATGGGTGAAATGGTTTGGTTAAGATGGGTTTTGTTAAAGCAAATCCATGTTTTGGTTATGTTAAGGCATAATTAGATCACAGACTTGGTATTTTAACTTCTCATACTGTGGGTGGTACTTAAGATGTCAAATAAAATTTTAGAGATGTTTTTCAAGCAGTTCACAATGCACCATGGCATTCTTTAGGAGTCACACAGTATGTGGCCCTGAGGCTAATCTATTTGCTGGAAAGTTTAAGTCCTGAGCAAAAGTATTCGTCCAGTAATTCTGGAATAAAATATCTATTAGGCAAAGAGAAAGAAGCCTGGGTAAATTAAAAGTATAAGTTTTGGACTCACAATTCTTGAGACTGAAATTGCTATACTATTGCCCCAATAGTGAATTTTGTCATTTAGAAATAACAGGGCAATGACTTAACCTCTTGAAAACACATCTGTAAGGAATGTCTCGTAGCATCATGGGAGGATAAAGTGAGATGCTGTGAAAATCCACCATCTATACCGAGAAGTAAATGAGACACCATTTAACTCAGAAGCTGAGTATATGAAATACTTGATGATTTTAGTAACATAGAATTTCATAGCTGAGAGGCTGGGGATATTGCTCAGGGGTAGAGCACTTGCCTAGAATGCACAGGGCCCTAGGGCCAATTTGTAGCACTGCACAGAACAAACAAAAAACTAAAAATGAATTTTATCTCTGAAAGGAATATAATAACTACAAACTATAATCTTGACCTAAGAGAGCAGGAGTCTAGAAATATGACGATCAACCAAGCAATACATGCAAAAATAGAAGCAAATAAATTCTGTCCCTACCCTTACCCCCAGCCTTGCTGTCTTTTTTGCAAGTTTATACATGTGTAACCAAATAGGCTCCCCTTCCTAAAAGCACAAGGTACAAGATTACTAAGGCAAGCAGTTTGGGGAAAACAGGCACCGAATTCATATCAGGTTATATGACCCACACAGTTTTGTAGAGAAAATCACACATGTACTATCCATAGGATTTAAATCAAATCCAGCCTTGAGGCAAACAGGCAGCCTAGATGTGGACTGTGCATTCATAGCCATCTGCACTGAGCTAGCCCACTGGTCAGACGTCCTAAGCATCAGATTGACAAAAAAGTTGCCAGTGAAAGGGGCATAGCCCAGGTTCCAGAACTTTCCTAAGTGCACCCAGGGCACTTCTAGTTTGCTGGAAGTTGCTCCCTTTTCACTTATATAGCATGTTACTCACTAAACATTTCCCTTCCTTGTACCCAGAGTATATAAACTTCAGCACACTTTATGAGCTAATGGCCTGCACAGCGTCTTGATTCACAGAGACCCAGAGAGGAATGATGTAACACATTTTCCAACAGAAGATATGTTCACTGAGGCAGGCTCCAAGTAAGTTTCTGGCAAAGTCAATCAAAATTCTGAAAACCATGAAAAACAACAGTCAAAGACCTTTTTTTTTTTTTTTTTTTTTTTTTTTTTTAAAAAAAAAAAAAAAAAAAAAAAAGAGGACGATAAATCTTTCACTGTGATATATCAAAATAA